CGTATTCCAAAGATAGAATGATCGATACGGGCTCGAGATTGTTTCAGAGATAGTCAACCGTGTCCGAGGTGAGATGTTAATCGATGGTGCTCTATTAACCTAACGAAAGTCTCCTGAAATGACGTTGTAGCCTGGAACTAGCATATCTTGTATAATCAAGTAAATTATCTTCTCGTATAACATAGGCATCGACAAAAACTCTTGTATGAAAATTTTTATGGTAGCATTTCTCTCTCTCTCATTTTGCGATTCAAATTTAATATATTAAAATAAACAGTTACGCAAACTCAAATTTCATATCTCATTGATATTTAAATATATATCGTCGATGCAGCTATCTAAAAGCTTTTGAAAACAGATTAGATAGTAGATAGATCTAAAAAGGCTATCATCATCTATATAAAGTATATTTAACGATCGCATTGTGTACCCGTACATTTATGATCGTCGAGCGCGATACGATTAATGCAAAAATAAAGAAGAAACGATAGATAAGTATCGATGTGTGGTAGCACATGAAACATTATTGCCGCAGCTTTCGAGAATACAAGGTAGTGTTAAAAGCGCGTATTTGGTCGGCGTCAGCTGATGAGAGAATTAACGTTCGTTCGTTTGCGAAGAATAAAAGTGCAGGATATATCGCGCGCGGGATATTAAATTTTACGAGATCGCCGTGTATGTGCGGGCAGGTATGTTTACCTCGTAAGTAGCGCACGTGGCGCATACGTTCCTCGCGAGGTCGTGTATCGCGATCGGTCAGCCAGGTCGAGATAGAATCTTTTATAACCACCGCGAGGAGGTAAACGAGTTTATATCCGCGAGCGATTGCGACACGATATGTTAATGTCCGAGCCCGTGCTCTTCCCACGTGTCAGTGCGGCGTTTCCAGCCGTCCTGGAAAACATTCCGGGGGCTGACACACGTGACATCTCCATCGAAGCCCTCGATGAAAGTCTCGCTGGACGGTTGTAGCGACACAAATGTCGCGAAGTGTCGATGAATGTTTAAAAAACGGGTGTCAAACGTATATCGCTCGTACTTTGATTTTTATTGTATACGCGACGCACGCGCTGATCTCGGGAATAGATACGATAAATGTATCTCCCTCCTTCCTCTTCCCCCCTCCTTCCCTCGAGCGATATTCAATGTAGCGCTAGCAGGTTATAGATCGAACTCGTAAACTTTTTCCAGGCAGTATTTCCGAGACTGATTCAGGAATCTTATCGACTCGCTATAGTTTCGTCGAAATAACTGCCACTAGGGCGGGCAATTTCCCGTACGATGGAGGAGCTTGGAGGGAAAACGTTTGCCCAAACAGCAAACCACCACAAGGTTATCGTTTAACGAGTGATGGAATACAAATTAGGTCCGTCGACGATGTCGTCGCCGGTCTATCGCGGCGCAGAAGGCGACCGAAAAACGGACGTCGACGATGATATCTCGCGGCAAACAAGCTGGCACGTTAATGAGGGCCCATGATGAGAGGGAAAGGACCGTGGATAGACAGAAAAGGAAAAAGGAAAGCGAACCGAGCAAATACCCCGACGTACGGTGACAACCCCGGATGCGTCGATAGCATCTCGACATTAAATATGAGTAACTCTGGTTGTACGAATAAGTAAGTTTACTGCGTCAATACTCGCCGGAGTGAGACAACCTAACCGACTTATGCGATCGTCTATATCGCAAAACCTTAAATGGATATCCCATCAATGTTCTTATTTAGTATTTTAACGATTGATTTCAGTCTTTTACTATTCGATTATAAAAAATTCACGAATTTTATGGTACTTAATAATAGGTAACATTGCTGATTTTTCAACTGTTTGCCTTTATTTTAATTAATTATTATGAAGTTTGCATTATATTAATTAATATATGTAAATAATACTACTATTGAGGGGGGAGGTGCGATAGTTTGGAAACTGAAGAAACAATAGTATTGTCCTGTTCACCGAGAGTAAATCGATTCGTTAGATTGTTTAGCGACATTTCGGAGCACCTTTATGCAATGCGAAGCGATGATGTAAGTATTTAATTGCTTAATGTATTCGACGCTCGTGTTGCTTCCTCGTTTTTCGAAACTCGCGGATATGCTTTCGCGTAATGACATACACGTTCATGCGGCGTCACTCGCGATCGGGAAAAGATACGCGATGCGATGCGACATTATAGATTGCATTGCAAATTACCCGAGATTTTTGAGAACACAATTAAAAACCGGGCGCGTGTATATACGTCGCGATAAGACGGAAGTGTCATGTCGCGCGCGAGAGATACTCCAATAATAATAATCCCATTAATCGATAATTATAAATGCTATCGGCGATCTTATCAAACGAGTATAATTTATGTCGACAGGAACGATTTGTCTAAGCTCGATAAGGTTTTCCGCGGATCTGGTATATGTTAATCGTGATATATGTAAAGTGATATATGTCAATTAAATTCTTTCAACACTTTTAATCGTTTATGCGTAATTAAAACACACGTTTGTATTCACCACTTCCGCACGTAATTTACGATGCGTGTTTTTATTTTTACAAGAACGATCTTCTTTCCGAGGAAAGAACGCTCTTGTCGAGCGTCTCGATCAAAGTATCCTGGTCGGATCGCATAAGAAAACAAAGCGACATGCGGCAAGCGTATCTCATCTCGCGGACGTACGTTAAACGCGCGCTCGGTGAAAGCGCCGATTGCGGATTATCATGTTCCTGTCGCGCTGCGCAGGAGAGCTATCAATTTTTTTTCCTCTCTCTTTCTCTCTCTCTCTCTCTCTCTCTCTCTCTCTCTCTCTCTCTCTCAACAATCTCGCGTGCGTCAACGGCTACACTTTCCATAGCAGCCACGTGCGAAACTCTCGGGTTCTACGCTCTTTCACGACAGATCCCGCGTGCGCGCGCGCGAAGATTGATATCTGGTCACGAACTAGCTGTAGCTCGTGCGCGCGACACACGCACGCTCAATTCGCGATTATTAAATCTGAAGATGACTTAACAATGTCGGATGTATGCTGTATACGGGGAAACGAGAAATGTTTTGCCTTCAAAAGACTTTCCAACGTAGAAAGCCAATGGTACGCACGCGTGTCGCGTGAGGCAATATTATACGTTTGCCTTGTAATCTTCGTGCGAATTTGTAATTAAACGTTCAGAAAAGTTCGTAAATACCATCGGCACGCGACATTTCCATTAGACGATATCATTACTTCGGAACGAGATTCAACCCCAATATCAGTTTATAATTTGAAGTTAGCAGAAAGATTGTCCTATATTCAACATCTCTTCTTTTCGAATAGCGATGTTCAAAATAACGATATAATAATTTGATGATCGCGCATATATAATCATACGTTTCGAATCTCAGCAGCGTATTGCTTTCGAAAGCATTAATAATCTCTGCTCTGACCATTTATATTTACGTATCAATTATCCATGCATCGAAATATGCGATTAGGCCATTCACCTTACAGAGCCGCGAACTTGTACATCTAAGCGATTGATGGAATTAAAACGACGAAGAGAGGTCGCGCGACCGAAAGAAACTCGCGCGAGGCCCTCGTCAACATTTTTCCGCGACAAATCTCGCTCAACAGATTCGTATCGCGTCACGAAAATGGCCGTTGCACGCGCTCCATTTGCATTGTCGGATATTACAACGACAACAATGAGGAGATGCAACGGCTGCTTCTTAACTTGAGCATTACGCGACACCATTTCGAGAAAGCTACCATTCATTATTCTCTCCCAGTCTCCCTTCTCTCTCCTTCTCTCCGATTATCGACGGTCGTTTCTTCTTCTCTCGCTTGGCCGTCGTAACCCGCGCATTTATGATTGTTATTGATCAACCGTTTTGTTTCTCACCCGTGTGTATGTATGTGCGTGCACGTTTGGCCGAAATGGCACGCCACGCGGCACTATAATATTGGCACGACAGAGCGAATATAGTGACGGCGGATCTTAATGAATCTTTATGGGATGATGTCGTGAACTTGTATACCCTCCGGTATAACTGACTGAACCCGTTGGTCGCGCTAACCATTGGCGCGGTTCATTCGTCGCTACCAAATTTGTCGTTCGACGTTGTCGAGGGACATTCTCGTTATCGCACGCTCTAAGGCAGTTAAATAAATCGTGGAAAGTACGTAGAAAAATATATTCCTCATCTCGTCGTATTCCAGAAAAATGTAATAACTTCTCGCGACGCGAAGCTATCCGCGTAAATACAATGTGTAACCAAAAGAATGATCTTGCATCGCGTCTATGTAGTTTTGGAAAAAAAACTGTCAATTTCTCGAAGCAATAGAATTAGAAGTATGATGAATTTTCCTTCGCTGTATTTTCTGTGACTACGCCAATGCGACCGACTGCTCATTAGCCTCGACGATGGCGTTGCCGCGAGTTTGATGGTGTAGATGGCCGTGTTCGTAAAATTTGAAGGGCGTGTAAAAGGCCCGTGGGGTCCCGGCTGGCCGCGCGCATCTTGATTGTCATCAACTCGTTGCTCGTCGCGTGATATTGTCATTAGCCCGCCTCAGCCATCGTCACCCGCGCGAGTCGTGCTTGGACGTAAAAGAGACCTACTTTAGGTCCCACGGATCGATCCGCCACAAACGATCGATCCAAAAATTCCTTGTAGTTCGTCAGCTATGCGTGCGAGTATTTACGATTCGGCGTGACTTTCAGACTTGGCATTAAATTGTTTATAAATAAGCTACTGCGTTCCCCGTTAAAAAATTATTATGTATTCTAAATAATGCAGAAGCAAAATTATAGTTTCTCATGACACTACTCTTTGTAGCATTTCTAACTCATAATGTAACGACTTACCGGGGTCCGATGAGTCCAGGCTGGCTGGCGCTTGTTGGCTAAGGGGTCCGGGTGTACCGCCCGTTCCCCGTTAAAAAATTATTATGTATTCTAAATAATGCAGAGGCAAAATTATAGTTTCTCATGACACTACTCTTTGTAGCATTTCTAACTCATAATGTAACGACTTACCGGGGTCCGATGAGTCCAGGCTGGCTGGCGCTTGTTGGCTAAGGGGTCCGGGTGTACCGCCACTTCCGGGACTACGCGCATCGTCGTTAGCACCCGCGCCGGGGTACGAAAGCGACGAGGAGGGTGGCCTCTGTAACGTAAAAAAAATCACGACTTAATCACTCACAGTTTCCCTTTATTTTTATATAAAGAAATTTATTAATATTATACATTACATGTCGCGGTTATCAAATGCAGAAATTTGAAAATATGCAGTTTAAAAAAAATCGACCACTGCTTTGCTGTGAGATAATATCATGTATATATGTATTATTTTCGCTTTTAATAGTCTTCTTTCGTGTAAGTAAAAAAGTGTTTGCCTTGTGAAGCGCGTGTCACGTCAACGTACGTTAGGAATTTTTTCGAGCCTTCACGCTGGACACGCACGTGCATACACGATGTCTCTGGATATTCTTTCGATCACAGACACTACATATATAACTAAAAACCACGTGCGAGAAAAACGTAATCAATTCGATTGATAGTTTATTTAACTTTCTGAATGAGAGAGAATCAACGTTAATATCATTTACAATATACCATTTTGGTACAGGCTCAGGAAAGCAATAATTAGTTTCATATAATTGCAAATATATAACATTTACGATCGTTAAACTGACAATACAATACAGTATTCAATCAAGCAATTTATATTAATAAACGCTCTAAAATAGTGTATCATAAAATAGAATGTCTCGTCATCAATGATTAATTTTAATTATTCTTTTCATTCGAACCTTCGGACTTTTCAAAGAGATTTTTGCGTTTTCTCACAGACGCTCCAATATATACAAGGTCCATTGATGGACGCGCGTCGAGCTGTTTTCGATCTCGATTAAAGACGGAGCACACGTATCTCTCCACGAAAATGCTGCCGGCATACTTAAATGACTCGAGATAGTCCAGCGGGACGCGCACGACTTACGAATCAACAGATTTGCTGGGAGCGCGCGACGAATGTCCATCGTAAAATATTCCATCGTTTATTCCGCAGGTGTAGCCGTGTGATAATGACACTCGTATAGAATCTCCATCGCTGTAGGAGGATAGAAACGAGACGGATCCACCGCGGAATCGACGGCAATGTACAGTACCATCCATAAATACGTGATTAGTTTCGCAAAGAAATGACAAGAGTGAAAAGAAGGAAAAAATATTCTAGATTTTCGTAGTATCGTCACCGTGCGCATCGTTGGAATTTTCCGTACGGAATGCGAGGGAAGAAACGCCCGCGAGTTCAGCAAACTTTCTCCTCCTGCCATGAATTACTTGATGGTATACGAACAACAAATCGTAGATCAATCTAAGGCAATTTGCCGCTCCTCATTGACGTGCCTCAAAGTGTTATTACAGCCGCGAGATGAAGGCGTGCGAAGAGGATATTCATTGAATGATTCCTCATAACGATCGTACGATGAACGGACCGGCTGATCTTCAGGGTCATTGGCTTCATTTTTCGAGCATCGAATTTTTTCTGTCCGCGCGCGACGTTGCGTTCTTCGAAAAACGACGATCTGTTTAGGTAAAAACAGCTTTTCGTACTTTTTATCGGAATCGTCGTGAAAAAAGTCGTGTTTGCACGTGCCAGTTTATTGATCCCGTCGCGAGGTCGAAGGGTAAGAATTTGAAGCGGGCGAATCTCTCGATATCACGAAGCGAAATGTCTGGGTATATCACGTCTGGCCAGGCAACAATGAGTGACAGCTACTCCCACATGCTGTCATAGGCGTCATCTTCGCGATAATGTACCGACTCGCTCCCTCTCTCGATTGCCTGCTCTCGTATCTCGCATGAAATCGTTACACGGTCAACTCTAGATCTCTGCTGACGCGGAGACATGTCACGTGAATTTACTGCTTTGTACGAGCTATCGTGGACAAATATGCAGCAACATTTAAGGAACAAAATATAAGAAACACTAAGTAAACAATTACGTTAAACAATTATAATTGCATATTGTCATTTATAGAACAGAAAAAAAAAAAACAAGAAACTTGTTTTTACTTTTTATTGTTAAATGTACTTTTTTAAATATCTCTCTTTTATCGTTTTTCAAAAAGAAAAATATTTATAAAGTCTCAAAAGAGAGAATTACTATATCAATTAAAAAAATTACTGAGTTAAAAGCTAAATTTAGGCTATTCCCTCAAAACTTTTTCTTATCATAAAATCTCAGGCAGGAGCACAATAGGCACAGGTAAAATCAGAAGTCTTCACTCTGATTTGACTAATCGCTCACGATCCTTGAATGACTATTTGCTCAGGGACTGCAGGGCCTATAGATTGCACGAGCAAGTAAATACACGAGAGTGGTAACGAACGACTAAGGGGGACATTAATAATGCATCGGTCGTCGCCGGTCCGCTTCCTACTGGCACCCAACGTAAAACAAGGGATCATGGTCGACATGGTCGGCGGATGATCTTCAGATCATAAATAAATTTATTATCACAATAATTGGCCGGACGATATTATTTCAATTCTCTCGCGTGAAAAATTAGATTAAGTCTAATTTTTTCGCGGTTCTTGAAGTGCTGCAGCGATTTTTAAAATAATTCTTCAATCGTTTTACACAACGCATTATCAAATCTTATTTTATCTTAGAATCCTGGAATGACCACACGCAATTAAAAATAATTATTAAGGGATCTCAAATGAATACGCTCATCAAATCGCCATCATCCTCTCGGTAGATTTCAATCATTTGATAAAAACAATGAGATTTACGTCGCGTATGGATGTGGCTTACGATATACCTCTAAACCTGACGTCACTTCCTACTAAAGGCTGAATCGCCGTTTTTTAAGTGGCCAGTAGGGTCCACCGCGTGACTCGTGTCGATGCAATGATAAACGGGTTAACGGGTCGACGTGCTACGCGCTCTCGTTCCACGTCGTTGCCTCTCACTCGCATGTCCGTCCCGCCGTCCGTCTCTGTCTGTATATGCCAGTCCGTCTACTATGGGCACTCTTAAAGTGTAATTCGACAAACCGGATGTCTGGCCTGCCCCTTAAATAAATCAGTTGCCCGCATCTCATATTCCACCCCCGCTCGTTCATACCGTACGTTTCCTTCCCGTCGGGTAAGAATGTCTTTTCTAGACCACGAGAATACGTCCTCGAGAGGAAGCAATAGTCATCGAAAAAGCCCCTCGGAAGAACGATTTGCGAAATCTATATGGGGGAAGGACGAAAACCCGATCCCGAAGACCGAGCGATAGCGTCAGGCAATATCGGTTTGCGCCTTGACTTCCGGCATAGTTAAAGTCGTCATTACGTTACGAAATGTCCCGCAGAACGCATAATATCTCATAAAAATTGTTGCGTGTAAATGTAAGCGATTGGAATCGGGAATCGCTTTTAATATCCGTCATAAAGCATTGCCGGCGCGTGTTCACTACTGCCATCCTGGCGGACGATAAGTTACGATCGCTCGTCGAAATGCGGCATACAGGGTGCGTCACATGTACCGCGCGCGTATTCGGCGATCTGGAGCATGAATCGCATTTTGGAGCGGAATCGCGCGAGATTGCGAGAATACGCAATTTGATCTCGCGAATCGCGCTTTTAAATTATCGTACGCATGTATTAATTGGCCGCGGTGTAACATAATGCCATATAATTATGTAATTAGAGGCCGGGCATTAGTCTCGCTGACTGGTTTACAGGCGAGATACGTAAATCTCTGCAATTAATTTATTGGTGCTCAAGAACGCTTGAGAGGAGGCTAAGAGAACAAGACATAAACGAGGCGGATAGGCGCGATAAAGACGGAGGAAACTAACGGGTCCAAGTAGGAGAGAGATCGACAGAGTGACTAGATAGAGACGGATAGATTATGGAGGCAAGGCAGCACATTGTGTAAGCATGCCCATCGACTGGACCCACATCTAGAGTCTCTGACTTCTTAATCGTTCCATAGAGCGGAGTGAGAGCGGGCAGAAATGAACGCGAGAGAAAGAGAGAGAGAGAGAGAGAGAGAAAGCGGGTGAAAAGGAGACAGAGTAATGAACTCCAAAGAAAGAGAAAGAGAGAAGACTTCTAGTCCGTGTAGTCTTGAATTTCTCGGCGATACCGGCGGGCGTATAGGGATCATAAATTACGATTTATTGCAGTGGCAGCGCCTCCGCTTGGCGGATTATCTTACCGTTATGTCAGCACGCTACAATTATATTTACATTTCCTTCGTAATGGAATATCGTGCCGGCATCGCAGTCATCCAGCCACGAACTAAACGAGACGTATCCGCGATAGATTCTCAAGGTAACTGGGTTATTTGCCCCGAAGGAATATAACATCGACTTATGTCAGAGCGCTTTTTAAGTATCCACGAAGAAAAAAACGGAAAATTGTCCGTCTTCGTCTTTAGAAATAGTGTAAAGTATCTTTAGTATACCGAGTAAAAAATCTCGCGTATTTAAATCACTTCGATCAGAAAAGATATTTTCTCTCTCCGTCGAGAGAGATCACATTCGATTTAAAGAGATAAATAATGCATAACGGATTTATAGAGTAAAGGAGCACAAAAAAAAAACATGTTGTAGGTGGGATTTTAGAGGCCGACCTAATGATAGCCACAAGATTCGAGCGATTAAATAGCCACGAGTTTAAATTTTAACAAGGTGTACACCTGACCAGCGAATGATTTTAAAACGCTCGTATAAACGAAACAAATTTATGGCGGCTGAGGTGAGATGGGAGAAAGAACGAGACCGAGGCAGCAGCCTGTTTTGGAGCTTCGGCCAGCGTCCGTTTCCTTTCACGGGATGAATGCACGAGTGAGCGATACTTTAAGGAAGACGGTGAGGAAGACGGTCAGTCATAAATATGGAATCGGGGTATTTGGCGCGTTGTGTCAATAAAACCAAGCCCAGATTCGTGCTGTTGCTTTTACGACTCCTACTGCATCCATCGCTTTTGGCTGGTGCTATTGGCGCGTGTTATCGGAAACGTGTTCGCCACGAAAACGGGTTTCGATCCTAGATATCAAAATGCTAGGCTCCTGCATACCGTAAAATTCCACGAGATATTTGCGATATCGAATTTTTCCGAATATTTGCTTCGAACGTTAAAAACGCGTTATGCTTCTTCT